GGGGGATGGGGCAGGTAGTTTTGCCTTTTCGCTGAACAGCCAAGGACAAAGGGAAAAGAAAATAATTCAAAAATTTGATGTGGTAACAACTTAACTTGGTCTCGGGATTTTTTTTTTTTTTTTTTTTTTTTTTTTTAATTTTTTTTTTTTAAAAGGGCGATGGCCTTGAGGTATATCGCAAGTAATGACAGGTTTGGGAAAAAAAAAAGAAAAAAAAAAAAAGAGGAGGAGAAGAAGGAAAAAAAAGAAACCAGTCGATGGGAGTTGTTATGGTGGGATGCTGGACAACATCTTATAAGGTGCTGTGTCTTGGCTGTGTGATGACGTGTGGCATCTGAATGTTTTCAGCTGCAGCCTGCTGGGCTAACAGGACATCCAAATGCTACCGTCTGCCCCCGAATAGAACCCCGAATCGAACAGACGGTCATTACCGCTGTATCAGACGGTAGCCGTAATGACCCTCTGTTCGCTGTCCTGACGGGACATCTGAATGCTGGCTGGTATGTTGACATGGCATATGTGGGATCTGAATGTTGGCTGCTGTGGTGAGTTGGGCCTAGCTCCACTTCACAACACTTTCCATGCATTTCGACGGTTTCTGGACCGGGGATACATTCAAAATGTTGGACTCATCCGAATGCCCCTTGTCCAAAAAGCGTCCAAATGCATGCAGAGTGTTGTGTAGTGGAGCGAGGCCCATTGTGTGTGTCGTTCTTGGCTGCTATGCTGATGTGGGTGTTGGAATCTCGCCCAGAAACGAAGGCCGAGTTGCAGACCGAGGAATTGCCAGCTGTGCGGCGTGCGGTGAGGTTTCGTCCATGCATTGACATTCATAAGGTGAGCAGATTGAGCCCACATTCAATCCTTTGTCTTGCATCTCTGTCTCTGTCTCTGTCTCTGTCTCTGTCTCTGTCTCTATCTCTGTCTCTGTCTCTATCTCTGTCTCTGTCTCTGTCTCTGTCTCTGTCTCTGTCTCTCTCTCTGTGTCTGTGTGTGTCCATACTCTCTCTCTCTCTCACTCTCTCTCTCTCTCTCGCTCTCACTCACTCTCTCTCTCTCTCTCTCTCTCTCCCTTTCTCTCTCTCTCTCTCTCTCTCTCTCTCTCTCTCTCTCTCTCTCTCTCTCTCTCTCTCTCTCTCTCTC